TAATCAGTGGTAAAGTCCATCAAAATAAACCAAAGTTCAAAAAATATTAGTGCAAAAAAGAAAAAGAAAAAAAGAAAAAATATATTTTCAAATTCTTCTTCTAATATAGAGGAACTTCCACCTTCCACCCGTGAAAACCAATATCAAATGCACTCACCAGATAAAGGTGAAAAAAACGCCTCTTAGGAATTTTATGGGATCCTACACCCTCTTTCGTATCCACTCTATAGGAATCCTCCTCTCCACCATAGGCTCCACCATCCGACCAGGGAGAAAAAAATCTCAGATAGTGTAATATTGTAAGACACCATTCATAAGTGAAATCAAGGATTAAGGTCACTCACATTCAATTCAATTTAAAAAGGCATATTTATTAGGATCAGCTTCTTCCAGATAAACAGTAGATGCAAGGCAACCTCCCACGGAATCTCACATCACAGCTCCAGGCTGTGATGTGAGATTCCGTGGGAGGTTGCCTTGCATCTACTGTTTATCTGGAAGAAACTGATCCTAATAAATATGCCTTTTTAAATTGAATTGAATGTGAGTGACCTTAATCCTTGATTTCACTTATGAATGGTGTCTTACAATATTACACTATCTGAGATTTTTTTCTCCCTGGTCGGATGGTGGAGCCTATGGTGGAGAGGAGGATTCCTATAGAGTGGATACGAAAGAGGGTGTAGGATCCCATAAAATTCCTAAGAGGCGTTTTTTTCACCTTTATCTGGTGAGTGCATTTGATATTGGTTTTCACGGGTGGAAGGTGGAAGTTCCTCTATATTAGAAGAAGAATTTGAAAATATTTTTTCTTTTTTTCTTTTTCTTTTTTGCACTAATATTTTTTGAACTTTGGTTTATTTTGATGGACTTTACCACTGATTAATTTTTCACTTATGTTTGCACTTTGTAATATTGATTTCATGTAAAGGTCTATGTTTGCGCTGTTTTTTCTTTTTTTTTTAACTAACAAAGCAAGACAGCTGCAGCACTAATCCAAAATTACCTCAATTATTACAAGTGAGCCAAAAATTATATAAACATAACAAGTGAACATCAGTATATTAGTGATCATAAAATAAAACATAAACCCAATATTCCTCAAAAACCCAATATGCAACATAAGGCCATGCAATAATCTTTTGATTATTTATCTGCTTTAGCTATTTAGAAACCTGGACCCCTATGCTCTATCCCCAGCCCTCTTTCCTCTCCCCCTTTTTTTCCCCACGACCCAACTTTTTATTTTTCTCCATCTTTCCCCTCTTCTGCCCCCCCCTTCTCTCTTTTTTCTTTACTATTTGCTTCCCTGCCTGCTCATGCACACCTTTCTACCACTCCCCCATCCTGCTTTGTTTATCCTATCTTATGAATTAATCCTTTTGATATTGCCATTATTATCATATTTGCTTGATTGTGGAATTTCAACCAAAACTTTTTCCATTTTGTTTGGATAGAGAAGAAAAGGATCCTCCGTAATTATTATCACACAGATATCCATGTTTTATATGCATTCTGTAGAGCTACAGAAACAAAAATATGTTGTGTAACTCTTACATTTACCCTTTAACCCCTCGACGCCGATCGCACGCAAATATGCGTCCTCTTGGCGTCTGGGCCTTGACGCCGAGCGGCCGCATATTTGCGTGCAATTAAAAAATACATATGTGCTGAGAGCGCGTGGTGTGCGCTCCCAGCACATATGTCCGCTACTCCCGGAAAGGTCCCGATCTCCTCTTTCAATTGGGACCTTTTCCGATCATGTGACCGCCGTGACGGCGAATCACGGCGGTCACATGACCCTAAAACCCCGCCTCGCCTCCCGGTTTCTGAAACTCTTAAAGGGCCGGGGGGCGCCAGCGCCAAGAGTCTAAATTGTGGTATGGCATATTTTAACAGCAGTGTTAAAAGAGAAGTATGGGTTTTGTTTTTTTATGTAATACTTACCTAGGTGGATGTAGCATTGGTCCGATGCTGCATCTGTCCCCTCCCGGCTCTAAGTGTGAGAACTCTGACCACTGATCGCTGATAGGCTGGGCCAGGTGCCACTCCAGGCTCTTTTTTCCAGCCTGGACTGGCTGAGTGACATCAGCCGACAGTGGGCTTCAGCCCGCTGTCAGCTGAAAACAGGTCACAGGTGTACAGAACTAACTGCATTTCTTTGATTCACAGGAGAAGTACAGCCAAAAGAACTTTGGCAGTACTTCTCCTTTAAGTAAAAGTAAACGTTGCCTGTAGCAACAGGTCATATATTACATTTTATATTTTACTTCAAATGGTTTATGTGGGCAGCACAACTATTTTAGGTCAAGTAACTTTTTATTCAGGCAAATACTAGAGTACAAACATACATAAGGACATAGATACAGTATGAGAGAAAAAAAAGACTAAAGCAGTGCAATGGAAAGATAATGCATATGTTACCCAAAAACGCAGTACAAAATGATAAACTGGATCAGAGTGGAGAATAACAGACCCTTTAGCCCAACTATTTTAAGTGTAAGCACAGTTTTAGGAAAACATAAAAATTGCTGTGCTGCCTCTTCCAAAAACTACTTTAAATAATTAATTAAATGAATGAACTCCATACTACACAAAGGGTCCCCACAAATGTGCATGTGCTAAAATGCCCCATGGGCTGGCAATTATATCCCTCTTCCCCAGTGACTAAATCCCAAATAAACCAATTAAACCAAGTACATGCAAGGTGCTTAAATGACAATAGTGCTAACAATAGGACATATACAATGCCATGAAACTGTGTATACAGTGAAATTGTATAAAACTATATATATATAGATATATACAGTGGGGATCGAAAGTTTGGGCACCCCAGCTAAAAATTTGTATTAATGTGCATAAAGAAGCCGAGGAAAGATGGAAAAATCTCCAAAAGGCATCAAATTACAGATTAGACATTCTTATAATATGTCATCAAAAGTTAGATTTTATTTCCATCATTTACACTTTCAAAATAACAGAAAACAAAAAAATGGCGGCTGCAAAAGTTTGGGCACCCTGCAGAGTTAATACAAGATATTAACTCTGCAGGGTGCCCAAACTTTTGCAGCTAAAAGCAATTCCTTCTCAGAGGACAAGTGTAGCGCTATCATGCCCCGCTCTATATGTTTCGTCGTATGACGTCATCAGGAGCGTCATCTGCGCAGGTTATACTCACACACTTTTAGTAAAAGCGATGATAAACACAAAACCAAAAATCTAAAATTTTATATATTGCCACTTAACAGTCATTGGGTGTGGCGGCTGCATTAGTTTTCTTTTTTTTTTTAACTTTTTTCCCTCTATTTTCATCTGGTGATCTGGCCAGTAATGCACCTCTTGTATGAGATTGCCTGCACTCTGGATGAATGAGCACAGGGGACACCTTTCAACAGCAGCATCAGTAATCTGGGGAGAGGGGAGTGTTATATGTACTAAAAGATTTAGAGCAGTGGTTCTCAACCTTTCTAATGCCGCGACCTTTTAATACAGTTCCTCATGTTGTGGTGACCCCCAACCATAAAATTATTTTCGTTGCTACTTCATAACTGTAATTTTGCAGTGGGAGGAGTAGTGCCACGTCATTGGTGTCAATGGGAGGAATCGTGCGCCATCATTGGTATTAGTGGTAGGAATAGTGCCCCATCGTTGGTGTCAGTGGGGGGAGGAATAGTGCCCCATCGTTGGTGTCAGTGGGGGGGGCCCCATCGTTGGTGTCAGTGGGGGGGAATAGTGCCCCATCGTTGGTGTCAGTGGGGGGAGGAATAGTGCCCCATCGTTGGTGTCAGTGGGGGGAGGAATAGTGCCCCATCGTTGGTGTCAGTGGGGGGAGGAATAGTGCCCCATCGTTGGTGTCAGTGGGGGGAGGAATAGTGCCCCATCATTGGTATTAATGACACCAATGATTGGGCACTATTCCTCCCACTGACACCAAATTATACTTACCTTGCTGACCCCTGCTCCAGCCTGGGCTCGCTCGCTCCCTCCCTCTCCCATGGTACAGACACTTACCGGTCAGATGTCTTCCTTCTCCGGCCGCTCTCCTCCTCTTCACTCGCTCGATCTTCGCGGTGCCGCTCAGCTCCTCCTCTCCAAACTTCACCTCCTCGCCGGTGATTGGCCGCCTGTGTGCCTCTCCTGAGCTTCAGTTCCGGCGGCCAATCACTGGCGAGGATTGATTCTGGGGGTGTGTCCAGATGACAGGGACGGCATGTCATCCCGCCCACACCTGGATAGAGGAGCGGTGTCTCGGTTCCTAAGACCATCGGAAATATGTGTTTTCCGATGGTCTTAGGCGACCCCTGTGAAAGTGTCGTTCGACTCCCAAAGGGGTCGCGACCCACAGGTTGAGAACCGCTGATTTAGAGTTACTAAGAAATTGAGGCCTAACTCCAGCTCACACTTCTTTAGCATAACAACAGTTGTTTTTTCCTTTTTGGGATACAGGTTTTACATAAATAAAAGCTGATCATTGTAAGCACCCCTGTCGGTTGTAAATGGTTTGTCTCAACACTCTGTTATATCTGAAGGAGAGATTTTTCTTTTGAAATATGACAGACATACCGGCCAGATCACTAAGTAAAAATAAGGGAAAGAAAGCCTGAAAAAGATAACTAATGCAGCCATCACATCTAAGAATTAGTAAGCTGCAATATAATAAATGTTTGCTTTTGTGTTGAATACTTCTTGTAATTATATTAATTGGACCCTGATGTTTGTGCCTCTTCCCCCACCAAATAGCTTTTAAAGGCCGTTGGAGACAGGCATTATTGTCCAATAAGTGTAAGCATATTAAATGTGCACTTACACTTTAACCACCTTCCGCCCGCCATATAGTACAATGATGGGCGCAAGGTGGTTCTCTTGTTCTGATAGGATGTCATATGACGTCCTTCCATTCTCACCGCGCATGCGCAGCTCAGGGAGCGATCGCCGGTGCACTGTGTCCCTCGGACACAGCGGATCACGGAAAGAGCCGAAGATGTCGGCTTAGTCATGTGATCAGCTGTGTCCAATCACAGCTGATCACGTGTAAACAGGGAAATGCCGGTTATCGGCATTTCTCTCCTCTCGAGCTGTCACGCTGAGAGGTGAGGAGAGCCGGTATTCGGCTTTCCGTGGAGGGGACATCTACACTGATCATCAGGGCACTGATGATCAGTGTGCCCTGATGATCAGTGTAGCCCAGCAGTGCCACCTGTCAGTGTCCATCAGTGCCAGCAGTCAGTGCTCATCAGTGCCACGTGCCAGTGCCCATCAGTGCCACATCAATGCCACATATCAGTGCATACCAGTGCACATCAATGCCACATATCAGTGCCCATCTGAGCTGCCTTTCAATGTCACCCATCAGTGCCAGTCAGTGCCACCTATCAATGCCAATCAGTGCCACCTATCAGTGCCAATCAGTGCCACCTATCAGTGCCAATCAGTGCCGCCTATCAGTGTGCATCAGTGCCGCCTATCAGTGCCAGTCAGTGCGGCCAGTCAGTGCCAGTCCGTCTAACAGTGCCAGTCAGTGCTGCCCAACAGTGCCAGTCAGTGCCGCCCAACAGTGCCAGTCAGTGCTGCCTATCAGTGCCATATATCAGTGTCGTGTATCAGTGCTGCCTTTCAGTGCCCATCAGTGATGCCTGTCAATGCCCATCAGTGCAACCTACCAGTGCCTCCTCATCAGTGCCACCTATCAGTGTCCATCAGTGCAGCCTATCAGTGCCCATCACTGCAGCCTCATTAGTGCACATCAGTGAAGGAGAAAAATCACGTATTTACAAAATTGTATAACAAAAACTAAGGAAAAAGTTTTTTTTTCAAAATTTTCAGTGGTTTTTGGTTTGTTTAAGAAAAAATAAAAATCCCAGAGGTGATTAAATACCACCAAAAGAAAGCTCTATCTGTCTCAAAAAAATGATAAAAATTTCATATGGGTACAGTGTTGCATGACCGCGCAATTGTCATTCAAAGTGTGACAGTGCTGAAAGCTGGAAATTGGCCTGGGCAGCAAGGGGGTATAAGTGCCCTGTAGGCAAGTGGTTAAAGGATTTGTGTTTTGTGCTATTTATTTACTGTTTGAGGTGTCTGTAAATACATGAGAATGTATTAACCACTTGCCCTCCAAAGGATTTACCCCCCTTCCTGACCAGGCCATTTTTTGCGATACGGCACTGAGTTACTTTAACTGACAATTGCGTGGTCATGCAACGCTGCACCCAAATTAAATTTATGTCCTTTTTTGCCACGAGTAGAGCTTTCTTTCGGTGGTATTTGATCGCCTGTGTGTTTTTTATTTTTTGCATCAACGAGAAACACCGACAATTTTGAAAAAAAAACAAAACAATATTTTTTACTTTTTGCTATAAAACATATCCAGTAAAAAAAATCTGATTTCATCATAAATTTAGGCCAAATTGTATTCTGCTACATGTCTTTGCTACAAAAAAAAATCCCAATATGTGAAAGTTATAGCATCTACAAATGGCGGTATATATACTGGAATTTTTAATACTAGTAATGGCGGCGATCAGCGACTTATAGTGGGACTACGGCGGCATTTTGACACTGGGGGGAACTGACTGCCACTGACATCCCAATAACACTAATACAGTGATCAGTGCTAATAAAAACCACTGTACTGATGACACTGGGCAGGAAGGGGTTAACATCTGGGCAATCAAAAGGGTTAACTGTGTGATGTTTTACTATTTTGTCTGTGGGTGCTTTACTGTGTAAGCACACTGCTTTGTATTGCTCTTCTATGCAGAGCAGGGGCGGACTGACAACTCATGGGGCCCCCGGGCAATTGGGGATCATGGGGCCCCTGTGTCCTTGCCCAAACTCAAAAAAGCCTATGAAAAAGGTACCAGGGGCATCTCATGGGGCCCCCTACAGACCCCGGGCCCTCGGGCAGTGCCCGAGTTTCCAAATGGTCAGTCCGCATCTGAAGCAGATAAAAGAAAAACAGTGTGCTGGTGCTGACAGGGGAGAAATCTGTATTGTTTACATACAGACCTCTCCTCTGTCAGTGTTCCTCAGCGATCGCTGGGTACCGACAGGGAATCTCTGGCTGGAACCCGGTGATCAACAGCTGTAGCTGCCAATGGTGGCGCAGGCAGGGTGGTGTGCGTGCCCCCTACCCAGAAATACAAAATCACATATATATTCATGATTTTGCACAGTCCTGCCGCCCTGTAGCAGTAGCTCTGCTATAGGACGGTCAGGAAGCAGTTAAAAAAAAACTGTTTTTTTTCTTCCTTGGACCAGTTTTGGCAGGTCTTGACCACTGCAGACCAGGAACCTTACACAAGAGCAGCAGTTTTGGAGTTGCTCTGACCCAGTCGTCTTGCCATCACAATTTGGCCCTTGTCAAAGCTGCTCAACTTTTTACGCTTTCCCATTTTTTGTGTTTTCAGCACATCAGCTTCAGGGACAGCATGTTTACTTCTGCCTAATATATCCATATATCCCAGCAACTTTGTCTTTTTTTTTTTTTTACAAAATTGTCAATTCAGTGTTGTCTCCAGTTGTCTAATACACTACATTCCCATTTCACCCTGATTTCTGAAAAGCTGAGCAAAAAGGAGCCCTTCATTCCAAGAATGTCTACCCATTCTCCAGAGACAAAAGGTTTGTTTTTCCATTCCTGTTGGGAATTGCAGGTAACCTCTAGGCTATTTGTCTTTTTTGTGTCCAAAACACTACACCTCAGTTTTGACCCATGAGAGATTATTCAAACTTCAACCATTGTTTTTGAGCTTTCCCTAATGCTTACACTCTGGCTCAATGCACAAAGAATGTATCTTTTTGCATATGAAAAGCAGATTGTGTTTTCTGAAACAATGGAAGTGTGTGGGAAAGATGTATGGTTTCCCCAAAGTGTTTCTGCTGCCTTTGCATTGATGGAGGATGGAGGATGGCCCCCTTCCTGACCAGGCCATTTTTTTGCGATACAGCGCTGCGTTATTTTAACTGACAATTGCGGGGTCGTGCAACACTGCATCCAAATGAAATTTCCTTTTTTTTTCCCACACGACTTGAGCTTTCTTTCGGTGGTATTTTTGATCGCCTGTGCGTTTTTTTTTTTTTTTTTTGCGCTATACAAAAAAATATATATTTTTGACTTTTTGCTATTAAACATGTCCAGTAAAAAAGGTAAAAAATCAAATTTCGTCATAAATTTATGCCAAAATGTCTTTGCTACATGTCTTTGCTAAAAAATAATCCCATTATGTGCAAATTGGTTTACATGAACGTTATATCGTTTACAAATGGCAGTATAGATACACTGGGATTTTTTTTTTTCATTTTTACTAGTAATGGCGGCAATCAGCGACTTGTAGCGGGACTGTGGCAGATATTTTGACACTGGGGGGAACTGGCTTGGTGTCATTAACATCCCCAGTGACTCCCATACAGTGATCAGTGCTAACAAAAAAGCACTGACACTGTACTAATGGCACTGGGCAGGAAGGGGTTAACATGAGGGGCAATCAAAGGTTTAACTGTGTGCAGGGAGTGTTTTACTAGGGGGAGGGATGTGTGTGCTTCACTGTAATCACACTGCTCTGGATGGCTGTGCTGTGCACAGCCATCCACAGGTGTGTGACCGAGCTGACAGGGAGGACTGTTAGTACACAAAACAGTCCTCCTCCCCGTTGGAGATCTTCGGAAATGACCAGGCGAGTAATTACCGACTGTGGCCCGGTGATTGACAGCCACGGCCGCAAAAAGGCGGCGCGGGTAGGGCGCGGTCACGGCTTGCAAGCCCCCTACCCGGAAATGCAAAATCACGTGTATATATGTGTGTATATATTGTGGCAGTGCGGTATCCTGACACGGTGGAAAGCACGATGGAGACCCAGGATTCTCAAACATAGAGGTTGAGGGGCTCCAGGCAGATCTCCTAATGCAGAGGAAACTGGTTTATCAGTTTCCTCTTTGGTTGGTAAAGCCTGTTTTGGGACCTGTAGCCTGGAGATTTCTTAGAGATTTGGGAGGGATAAAATCTCCAATCCTGGGCCCATATTTTGGGAGCAGCCAGCGTGCTGATTGCACAGGTGTGTGCAGGCCTTTTAGGGGAAGCCAGGCCATGATTCTGGGCTCCACCCCGGCAAACGGAGTCGGGAGGGCTCCACCCCAGCAGAAGGAGTCAGGAGGGCTCCACCCCAGCAGGAGGATTCCACCCCGGCAGGCAGGAGGTCTCTGCCGTGGAGTCAGGTGGGCTACACCTAGGAGAGGTGGAAGCCAGACTAGCTGTGTGCCATACTTTGGGAAGAGTCTGCAGGAGGCAGACTTAAAACTGCGTACAAGCCAGGAGGCTGAATACTGTTCATTTGAATTCGTGTGATGGTGGATACCCCTGCGTGGGAAACCTTTATGTTATTGAACTGTCATTTAAATAAAAGTGGGCAAACAGGCCCTTAAAAAAATAAGCGAGTTGCCGTGTGCTTTGAAGAAGCTCTACCACTTGAAGCGAGTTCCCACATATGGTGGAGAATGCGGGCATAATTGGAGATCCCTGCAAAAGTAAGTTCATCAGTTATATGAACTGTGTTTCTGTGCAATGGACAGCACAATTTGGTGTGTGTGCAGGTGAGGAGAACCTGCCTTAAAGAGGCAGTACTTCATTTCTTTGTTGCTGGACTGTGCAAAAGTGTTGTGAAGTGACTGAAGATGGGGCGGTCAAAGCAAAGAAAAGAAGAAAGATTTGCTGCAATGAGAGACCGAGCCCTGTGGCTGGAGGGGTTATCACCAGAACAAGCCCCATACATGGCTGAACAAAGGTTGCCACAGTGGGAAGTGCATGCTGTTGCCCCTAGCAACACTGCTGAAAGGAGACCAGCTATTGTGCAGAGTTCTAAGCTGGAAAAAGACTGCAATGTGGGGAGCCTGGACAAGACACGCTGGCAAGAGCGATGTTTGCGGTGCAGGGAGTGGGGGCACACTGTCTCCAAATGCCCTTTGTCTCAGCCTCCATTGCAAAATTGCATAGCAAAGCAAAGGACTGCATCTGTGTTTGGCAAGCCGGCTCTGAGTACAAGGAAGGAGCGACAGGCTGACCACAAGTTTGAGAGGAGTGTGGTTGCTCATAGCAATAGCTGCAATGTAAAGTCTACGGTGAGAGGTGCTGAGTTCTGGGCCTCTGATTACATGCAACCCATGCTACCTACAGAGGAGGTTGGAGACTTCCTTGAAAGATTTGAAAAAGGTGCTACACAGAGAAAATGGCCTAGGGACCGGTGGCCAAAGTTGCTGCAAACCGTATTACCGAGGGAGTTTCGATTTACCATTTGATGGATTGGGACCAGGATGACTACTGCACCTTTAAAGAGGAAATCCTTCTTCAAGGGGAAGTTTGGCGTGTCATGGCTGGCCAGCAATGCTCCAGGATGGGAGAGGTGT